AAATAAGACCCTTTCCTCTGGGGGGCTTAAAATGGTTATGGGAGTGTTTTGAGGTATGGTATATTGTAAAAAGGTTTTATGTGTAAATAATTCTGATGTTCTGAGATCGGAGTTAGTTTAAGTTCTTGTATGGATAGAAAGAAATAAAGGAAGAATTTCTATAGAAATCTGTTATTTTGATCAGTTTATTGTCTATCCAGTATTTGAAATTCTGTGGAGAAGAAAAAGCAGATTTAAATTTAGGGTAACCCAGGAAAGAGACCCCCAGTGGGGGGAGGGGGGGGTTAGATGTTAAATTCCAAATCTAGGGTCACCCAGGAAAGAGGACCCCAGTGGTCTTTCCAATATTCTCAGTATTCTCAACTGTGACTGAAAGCAATAAAAACTTGACAAAATCAACACAAATGTTTGTCTGGAGATCAGCTAAGCACTAATTATTCAATATTGGTTGCATAGCAAAACCTCAAATACAACATTTTAAAAAATAAAAAACAACTACCCATTATATTTCCTAGATTCTGCAATATGTTTCCCTAGTATTTCCCTGTTTTTCACTGCTATGTTATTTTTACATCATCGTGCCCCCCATCCCTGGTTTTACCACTTTTTACTGTTTTGCCATCAGTTTTCACACAACACTTTGAATTCACTACGTTTCAATTATAATGCCTTATATAAAAAGAAAAGAGCAGAAAAGTAGTAAAGAGGAAAACATACCAATTTTTATATATTTTTTAATGGAATTTCAATAACAATTATAGTTTTTCACATTTACAAAATTAAAACGTAGGACCTAACTGACCGTTTACCTTCCTCAGCATTTTGTAGCTTGTAGGTCTGAACAAGGTATAAAAAAAAACTGAACACCCTGAAACTAAATGTAACTTTCTTTCTCTGTTTCAAGAGTCAGTCGTGAGTCAGCAATGGTGAGAACTAGCACAAAGATCCTGTATGTGTGGGGGAGGTTTGGTAGCTGGCTGAATTTTTGTAACCTATTATTTCTCCTTGGGCCATGGGTTTTCTTTTTGTGCATGAAAGGACCCGAAGATTTGTCTTAATTTCAGTTATTCAGATGAATCTCATTTTGGTCTTTAACGACTTACTCTGGAATGAGACTCTACAGCCGTTTGAAACACATTCCTCACTAGTAGTTCAGCTGTAAGCTTGTTACAGGAATACCATGGAATACCATGCTACAGTGCCATAGTGATTGTGGCAGCACAGTGGCTTAGTAGTTGCTCTCCTGTCTTGCAGCACTAAGGTCATTGTCTGTATCCCAACCACACCATTACTTGCATGTTATTTTTGTGCTTGCATGGGTCCTCTGATGGCAGTTGCCTCCTGTGCAGTCTACATCCTGATAGGTAAAAATCTAGTGCCAGTCTACACTCAGCTACACAGAACTAAACAGGATATTGCTCCTGCAGTATAGGTATGTATGATGAAATACTATTGGAATGTTAATGCACTAGATGTTTACCAACTAGGAGGTCACTGCGGTCATCAGGAAAGATAAATACATATTTATTCCTATGATGCAGTCATTACATCAGTGAACACATGAATGAATATAGAGAACATCTGTGTTGATTTTAGCTATTCAAATGAAACTCATTGGGTCTTCAGCTACTTCTACTGGAACGAGACTTAAAACACTTTCCTTCAAGCCCCATGCCCCAATGCTAGAATGGATGTTGCAGCACAGTTGTTTAATGGTTAGCACTTGCTTTGCAGCACTATGGTCATCGGCTTGAATCCCAACCATAGCACTATTTGCATGTTCTCTTGTATGCATGTGTAGATTTATTCTCCCACTCCAAAGACATGCTGGTAGATATATTGGTCCTGGTACGTAAAATAGGGACCTTAGATTATAAACTCCTTGAGCCATAGACTGGTATGAATGTAAAATATGTTAAACCCGGCTTAAAATTGTTGGTGTTATACATGGCATGTTATACATTATACCTGTAATACATGTCAATGAGATTTATTCATTATGCAGAGTGAATTTGTGCCCTACATTTATGCCAAGATGAGGTTTCCATACATAGTCATGCTCTCAAATATATCACTAGACTGTCTGAAAAAGAAAAAGTTAGCTACATACAGTTGCAAGAAAAAGTATGTGAACCCCTTGGGATTACATGGAGTTTTGCATGAATTGGGCATAAAATGTGCTCTGAATGTCATCTAAGTCACAACAATAGAAGAACACAGTCTGCTGAACATAATACTACACAAACATTAGATGTTGCCATGGTTTAATTGCACATAACATGTAAACATTCACAGTGCAGGGAGGAAAAAGTATGTGAAGCCCTAGCTTAATGACTTCTCCCAGAGCTAATTGGAGCCAGGAGTGAGCCAACCTTGACTCCAATCAGTGTGATGATATTGGATGTGTTGCTGACAGCTGTCCTGCCCTTAAAAAACACACACCTGTTTTGGGTTTACTGGTTTCAAGAAGCACTGTCTGATGTGGACCATGCCTCGCAGAAAAGAGCTATCAGAAGACCTACGATCAAGAATTGTTGACTTGCATGAAGCTGGAAAGGGTTACAAAAGTATCTCCGAAAGCCTTGATGTTCATGTGTCCACGGTAAGACACACTGTCTGCAAATGGAGAAAGTTTAGCACTGTTGCTACTCTCCCTGGGCGTGTCATCCTGTAAAAATGACTGCAAGAGCACAGCGCAGAATGCTGCATGAGGTAAAGAAGAATCCCAGAGTGTCAGCTAAAGACCTACAGAAATCTCTGGCACATGCTGACATTTTTGTTGACACATCTACAATAAGGAAAACATGAAACAAGAATGGAGTACATGGGAGGACACCACGGAGGAAGCCATTGCTGTCCAAAAAGAATATTGCAGCACGTTTGAAGTTTGCAAAAGAGCACCTGGATGTTCCACAGCACTACTGGCAAAATATACTGTGGACAGATGAAACCAAGATTGAGTTGTTTGGGAAGAACACACAACACTATGTGTGGAGAAAAAAAGGCACAGCACACCAACATCAAAACCTCATCCCCACTGTGAAACATGGCGGAGGGAGCATCATGGTTTGGGGCTGCTTTGCTGCTTCAGGGCCTGGATGGATTGTTGTCATTGATGGGAAAATGAATTCCAGAGTGTATCAAGACATTTTGCAGGAAAACGTACGACCATCTGTCCGCCAACTGAAGCTCTGCAGAGGATGGGTGATGCAACAGGACAATGACCCAAAGCATACAAGTAATTCAACAAAACAATGGCTGCAACAGCACAGAATACACCTTCTGGAGTGGCCCAGTCAGAGTCCTGACCTCAACCCGATTGAAATGCTGTGGCATGACCTAAAGAGAGCGATTCACACCAAACATCCCCAAGAATATTGCTACACTGAAACAGTTTTGTGAAGAGGAGTGGTCCAAAATGACTCCAGATCGTTGTGCAGGTCTGATCTGCAACTACACGAAACGTTTGGTTGAGGTTATTGCTGCCGAAGGAGCGTCAACCAGTTATTAAGTCCAAAGGTTCACATACTTTTTCCTCCCTGCACTGTGAATGTTTACATGTTATGTGCAATTAAACCATGGCAACATCTAATGTTTGTGTAGTATTATGTTCAGCAGACTGTGTTCTTCTATTGTTGTGACTTAGATGACGTTCAGAGCACATTTTATGCCCAATTCATGCAAAACTCCATGTAATCCCAAGGGGTTCACATACTTTTTCTTGCAACTGTATGTTGCTCTGGGTTCCTTTCAGTGTTGGCCAATATGTGTGAGAGTCTAAGTCAGCCTTTCCCAACCTTTTTACCCCAGAGGAACCCTTTAAATAATTTTCATTGGGGTTCAGTGAAAAGAATGGCCCTGACATCAATGGTCAGTAGGAACAATTAAATTCTTACAGTGTCACTGGTTCTGCCCAGTGGTGTTGAAGCCATGGAGGCACCATAAGATGGAAGGTCAATCAGCCACAGTTCAAGGAAGCCCTAACAATTTCTAGAGCAGGGATTTCCAAAGTTTCCAAACCAAGGACCAATTTACTGTGCTTCAGACTTTAGGGGGGGTGGACTGCGGCCTGTGGTAGTAGAAAATGTCCCAGCATCCATGGGAGTAATCAATGTCCTATCCTTGGTATTAGGGGAATTATTAGTGCCCACTCGTTGATGTCAGTGGGAATAATAGTGTCCCATCATTGGTGTCAGTGGGAAGAATAGTGCGCCGTCATTGTTGTCAGTGGGAGGAATAGTGCCCCATCGTTGGTGTCAGTGGGAGGAACAGTGCCTTATCATTGATATCAGTGGAAAGAATAGTGCCAAATCATTGGGGTCATTGGAAGGAAGCTTGATCCATTATTGATGTCAGTGCAAAGAACTATTTCCCTATTGTTGGTTTCAGTGGAAGGAGTAGTGCCTCATATCAGTGGGAGGAATAGTATCCCCCAAGGGCTGGATAAAGGCAAGCAAATGGCCGCATTTGGAGACCACTGGTCTAGAGGAACCCTAATTGAGAATCCCTGGTCTAGACACTTGGACATATGATCACTGCTAAATGTTAGGACCAGACATGAGATCGGCACATTCTCCCAATCAAAAATGCTCATGTGGTCTCATGTATAGGCCTTCAGACTTGCTGCCTGTATTGAAGGTACTAGCAAAGAGCATATGTTCCTGCAGGAAAGGAAATATTTTTTTTCCCTTCTGTTACTCTTTATGTCAGGAATCTAGGAATGACCAGAAAGGTGTGGACTGACACAGGGAAACGCAGGTCTCAGGTATAGTATAATAATACAGTTTATTATTAGCCACCCAGATATATATATATATAAACGCACAGTGAACAAACCAACCTTCTACTAATCTTAGTAGGTGCAGGAACACAGGCGTAGTCAGGGCTGGAGAGGTGGAATGGTCAGGCCGGCCGTAGGGTTCTGTAATGACCGTTTGGTGGTACCTCTAGCGGTCCTCAGGACAGGATTCCTCAGGGCGCGGAGTCTAAGTCCCAGCCTGCTTATTCACCAGGGCCCCTGATAGTGGGGATGGACTCGGAGCAGACAGAAACCAGGTCGCGGCCCCTGAGTACCCCTGCTCGTGGTAGAGGGATTCGCCAGAGGTATGTGCAGGTAGAAAGCCTGATGTGAAGAGGCAGAAGGTGTGAGCAGGGACGGCTGGATCCGTGCAGGATGGATGGATGGATGGCAGAGTAGCTAGCGTGGTCAGATGGGTCAGGTCAGCAACGTGCGGGCAGCGAGGTACCGAAGGAGCAGGCAGAGAATGGTCAAGGTCACAAGCCGGGTTCAGTAACTCACGGGCAGCGCGGTACAAAGGATCAGGTAGAAGGATGGTCAGGCAAGCCAGGGGTTCAACAGGAGACGGTCAGCAGAGGTCAGGATCAAGCAGGGTCATCAACGAAGCAGGAACACAGGATACCAGGTACAGAGGCTCATGGGAAAACATGCACCAAGGCCCAGATCACAGGCCTGGTCATGCCTTAAATACACCTTCTGCAATCAGCCCCAGGTTTGGCTGATTGCAGGTGTGTGAGCTTCTGGCTGCTGAGAGCACCCGCTGGTCAGCTCTGGTACTGCAGCCCACACGGCAGGTGAGTCCCACCACCAGTGCTGAGTCCATTCCTGACAGTACCCCCCCCTCAAGAAGCGGCCTCAGGACGCTCCAGACAGTCCTTAGTGGGCAAAACGTTCCACCGCCGGGTCAGGTAACTGGCTGAATATCCAACTGCCGGAGTAAACCGGCTGGCTGGGTTTCCTGCTGGTAGACTTCTCTTTGTGTAGGAGAACCCAGGAAGGCAGGTCACTGGGCACAGGATTTCCAGGAGCAGGCTGGGAATCAGTTATTGGCCAGTTTAGCTGGACATCAGGGGCTGGCATGTCGGTCTGTGCAGCGGGCAGAGGCACGTCAGTGGGCACCGAGTCATCTGGCACGACAGTGGGCACCGAGTCACCGGGCACGTCAGCGGGCACCGAGACATCTAGCAGAACCGCGGGCACAGAGTCACCTGGCAAGTCAGCGGGCACCGAGTCACCGGGCATGTCAGCGGGCACCGAGCCATCTAGCAGAACCGCGGGTACCGGGTCACAAGCTCGACAGCAGGCACCAAATTAACTGGCACAACAGTGGGCACTGAATCAACTGGCACGACAGCGGGCACCAAGTCATCAGGCATCAGGTCATGTGGCTCAACAGCGGGCACTGGGTCCTCAGGCATCAGGTCATCTGGCTCGACAGCGGGCACCGAGTCAACTGGCACGACAGTGGGCACCGAATCATCAGGCATCAAGTCATCTGGCTCGACAGCGGGCACCGAGTCAACTGGCACCGAGTCGACTGGCACGACAGCGGACACCGAGTCAACTGGCACTGAGTCGACTGGCACGATGGTACACCGAGTGGGAGCAGGGTACTGACATGTGGTAGATAGCAGGGTATACTGGGCTGTCACTGGGGGTGCTGTCGGGAATGCAGGAAAAGAGCTTTGAGCAGAGGAATGATGAGAAACAGGACTGGTTTGTTGCAAGCTGATTGAGGCTGGGTGTAACAAGTCTGACCATGTCTGCAGTAAGGGTTGGACAACGCTCAGCTTACACAAGGCCTGTCTGGTCAAAGATTGCACTGCGTTTATACACTTCTTTAGCACATGTGGTGAACATGCTGAATAATGCTCCAAGAAGCAATCCGGATCATCCTCCAACAACCATACCAGTGATATTATTTGACTCACCCTGAATGGAGGAAGGAATTCATCCCTGCTTTCAGGGGTACTAGATGAAGCCAACTCAACACAAGCCTGAATCAATGGTTGCACCTCAGAGAGCTCTAGGTCCTGACCTACTAGGGAATGAGCGACCCGTATGCACTCTAGCAGCTGATCCCTGGTATGCTCCCGCAGAGTCTGATAGGCATATTCTCTGTCATCAAAGACTAGCATAGACAAATACAAAACCTCCTCACGATGCGTCCTTCATAACAAGTCAAGATGGCTTCCCTGTGCAGTCACTTCTGGTCAGGAATGGCCTTGGTGTGATGTCAGGAATCTAGGAATGACCAGAAAGGTGTGGACTGACACAGGGAAACACAGGTCTCAGGTATAGTATAATAATACAGTTTATTATTAGCCACCCAGATATATATATATATATAAACGCACAGTGAACAAACCAACCTTCCACTAATCTTAGTAGGTGCAGGAACACAGGCGTAGTCAGGGCTGGAGAGGTGGAATGGTCAGGCCGGCCGTAGGGTTCTGTAATGACCGTTTGGTGGTACCTCTAGCGGTCCTCAGGACAGGATTCCTCAGGGCGCGGAGTCTAAGTCCCAGCCTGCTTATTCACCAGGGCCCCTGATGGTGGGGATGGACTTGGAGCAGACAGGAACCAGGTTGCGGCCCCTGAGTACCACTGCTCGTGGTAGAGGGATCCGCCAGAGGTATGTGCAGGTAGAAAGCCTGATGTGAAGAGGCAGAAGGTGTGAGCAGGGACGGCTGGATCCGTGCAGGATGGATGGATGGATGGCAGAGTAGCCAGCGTGGTCAGATGGGTCAGGTCAGCAACATGCGGGCAGCGAGGTACCGAAGGAGCAGGCAGAGAATGGTCAAGGTCACAAGCCGGGTTCAGTAACTCACGGGCAGCGCAGTACAAAGGATCAGGTAGAAGGATGGTCAGGCAAGCCAGGGGTTCAACAGGAGATGGTCAACAGAGGTCAGGATCAAGCAGGGTCAGCAACGAAGCAGGAACACAGGATACCAGGTACAGAGGCGCATGGGAAAACATACACCAAGGCCCAGATCACAGGCCTGGTCATGCCTTAAATACACCTTCTGCAATCAGCCCCTCTGGTATCTTATCTCAATGGTAGTTTAGTTAAGCTGGCCATACACTGGTAGATTTTCGTGCAACGGTTTGAATGAAAAATCTCAGCATTACATTAGTACCATCAAAGACATGACTTCAAAATTGTATTTGCTTTTAATATTTATTTTGGAATAAATAGAATTTTCAGAATAAATATAATACTTTTCACTAGAAATTTGTTAGTTCAAGAAAAATATTCCATCTTGCTCTTTCAAATGTTCTTGTCACTATGGTCAAAACGATTATTGATCCATGAACCATTATCGCAAGGCCTGGGTTGAATTGGAAGCTGCTTTTTTGGGGACCCCGCTTGCCACCTTACCTTGGCTGCTAAACTCTCACATTCCATCTGAGCTCAAGGAACTCCTTCTCGTAGGCCCCTACTTTGTCCTGTTATCATCAGATCAGCAAGAATACAGCATTCTCATCCACCCCTGGTCCACTCACTCTTGTCAGATTGAACCCAGACTTCCCCCCAGGTATGTCGCTGATTGCAGGTGTGAGCTTCTGGCTGCTGAGAGCACCCGTTGGTCAGCTCTGGTACTGCAGCCCACACGGCAGGTGAGTCCCACCACCAGTGCTGAGTCCATTCCTGACACTTTATTTCTTCATCTCAGCAAGACTGTCAAAATAGGCATTTGTGAAAAAAAAGACCCCCCCCCATTGCCATGGGTTAAAAACATATTTGATTTAAAAGTAAAATGTAGCATTATTTTTTTTAGATACACTTGAAAAATAATGGAGGTATATGTAAATAATGTTAATCATATGTGTTAATGCTTCCCCTGTATATCTGGTATCTTATCTCAATGGTAGTTTAGTTAAGCTGGCCATACACTGGTAGATTTTCGTGCAACGGTTTGAATGAAAAATCTCAGCATTACATTAGTACCATCAAAGACATGACTTCAAAATTGTATTTGCTTTTAATATTTATTTTGGAATAAATAGAATTTTCAGAATAAATATAATACTTTTCACTAGAAATTTGTTAGTTCGAGAAAAATATTCCATCTTGCTCTTTCAAATGTTCTTGTCACTATGGTCAAAACGATTATTGATCCATGAACCATTATCGCAAGGCCTGGGTTGAATTGGAAGCTGCTTTTTTGGGGACCCTGCTCACCACCTTACCTTGGCTGCTAAACTCTCACATTCCATCTGAGCTCAAGGAACACCTTCTCGTAGGCCCTACTTTGTCCTGTTATCATCAGATCAGCAAGAATACAGCATTCTCATCCACCCCTGGTCCACTCACTCTTGTCAGATTGAACCCAGACTTCCCCCCAGGTATGTCGCACGCCTTTCTTGCGGATTTGGCCTCACAGACGGCTTGAGTCTGCACCAACTCTTCAAAGACGGATTGCTTTTATCCAGAGACCTCCTTCTGAGTAAATGGCCTACCCTGACCTTAACGCCGTGGATGTACAGAGAACTCCACCACTTTATCCACAACTCACCCCATCTAAAAGAATATACTAGACATCTTACCCCCTTTGAGAAACTTTGCTCAACGGACTCTCCACAGAGACTTGTTATATCCCAGCTTTATACATGTCTCGAAAACACCAGTGCCCTCTCAACTAGGAAAGCTTGCAAGGCCTGGAGCGCTGACTTACAACTCCAACTATGGCCGGAAGACTGGGACCACATATATGAACACATACACAAAGGGTCTATATGTGTCTCCACACAAAAAAATAACTTTAAAGTATACTCTAGATGGTATAGAGTTCCATCCCTGCTTCACTGCTTCGACTCCAACATTTCTGATTTGTGTTGGAGATGCCATCAAATGACGGGTACACTCCTACACATTTGGTGGGAATGCCCATTGTTGCAACCCTTCTGGGAGAAAGTTCAATCTACAATTGCATAAGTTACTACGTATGCCCTAGACCTCTCCCCCGCACAATTTTTGCTTCACCATACCGCTCTTCCATTTCGGGCATATCGCAAATCACTCTCCATGCACATGGTAAATGCTGCAAAGCAATGTAACTCAGTCCACTGGCGCTCAACACATGTTCCCACTATACGAGAATGGTTTGCTAGGATCTACAAAACTGAGGAAATGGAGGAACTGATTTCTGTAGCTAAGGAACATCCCGAGAGATTCAGGAAAACATGGGCATGCTGAATCATTTCAAATCCACCTCTACCTATCATCTAAGAGTACACGATCGATCTATACCCCCTAACTGAATGTCCAAATACAATGCTGTATCGGGGAATACCCTGATCACTGGGGACACTTTTATCACATAAAAAGATGGGCTGTAGATCTACATCACAACATGCCTTATGGGGTTTTTTGATCCAAGTGTTACCCCACTGACCGATCTTGCACGTACCATATTCTAAGCTTTATTACTACCTTTCTGGCTTGGATAATACATAGGGATGTGATCCATTTTAAATTTTTATTACCTATGCACTCTACAGCCATTTAATTTATCTATACACAGCTATGACTAACTTCAACTATATCATACACTCAAGTTATAAATACGTAAACCATGATCTTCACAGCATCCAACGCTTTCCCTACCCTAATCTGCACATCACCTCATCATTAAAAAAATTGCTGATATTCAAGACGAGACAACATACACCAACATCGATTTATCTACTTTCCTCTTTGTATCCACTGGTTTGCATTATATGCTTGATGTAATGTTCTACCCCATTTAGACCTGTATTACAGTTTACAAATATGTCCCATCTGCGAAACGGGAGGCAACATGTCATGTCTATGTTCTGACTGTGATTTATAGCTGTATATGCTCTAAATGCTTTCTTGTGTCTTCTTGAAATAATAAAGTATTTTTGGAACAAAAAAAATGATTATTGATTTAATCCCACTAATAATTGGAAAAACAAGGAACTTCTGAGAATATCAATCTTCAAAAAAAAATTCCACTAGTATATGACCAGCTTTAGCAGAAGTCATTGTAGAAGCTACCATGCCTCAGATGGCAAACACTTACATGTAATACCAAACTATCAAAGACCAAGTATGTACAAATGAAAAGGTCAAATATAAATTATTTTAAATTTTAAAAATTACTTTACATTTTTCATCACTTTAAAAAGAAGTTTACAGTACAAGCACCTAAGACTCCTATTGGCCAATGAGCCAGCCTATCAGGTTCATGCTCTTTGCACCTGCCAGAAACTTTTTATTCTTTCACAAGAATTCTATTATAGAGGGAGATAGCAGTAAGAACAAAAAGTAGATTAGAAATATCATAAACATATTCAAGAACAGTGTAGGCACACAGATTTAAACAGTATACACTAGTAGATATGAATATTCAAATAAACATGTGCACAAAAATTCTCAGTCCATCTGATGGCTTGACAAATGTTGTTTGAAAGTAATTCAAAAGTTGTTTGCCTTTAACATTATTTTTAGAGTGAATGGACTTTACGAATGAAAACAACATACAGTACATTGTTAGAAATTCTTTTAGTTGATAATCACTTTCCATTTTGCTCCTGTAAATTTTCTCATCACTGCGGTTGAATATGAACATCGATTTGACTTCATTAATAATTAGAAAATAAAACAAACATTCTTAAAAGAGAAGTATGGACTTGACAAAAAAAAATCCTTCATACTTATCTAGGTGGATACAGCATCGAGCCGATATTTTGATATCGGTAAATTTAGTTGTCAAACTGTAGACAGTGTGGTTGTAACTGTTGTTAGGTAAAAGCACAACTTGCACACTGTAATCAGTGTTGCTGTATTCTGCTAGTTGGGTATATTCAGTGTGTTCGGCTGCTACCAGGCTGATAGCTCCCTCTGCATCCAAAAAGCTTGAGAGGTTACTTGATAATAGGTGTGCAGCTATGGAGATGGCAGCATGAATATTGATACAGTCCCAGCGTATCCCAGATGGCATGCTGTGTAACCGTATATATTCAGTAAAAGCACACAGTTCTGGGTCTTTCCTGTATAGGATTTTTGTAGCCTGGAGAGGGCATGCTGTCCTCCCAGGCAATGCTGCTGCTTCTACTGCCATAGGTCTCAGGTGGGCGACCTGAGGGCCCAAATGCTGAGACCTTAGTTCTTCTAAAGCTGACTGATGGGCTGTCTACTGAAGATCTAGTCTGGTATCATGGAGGAAGGCAACCAACTGCTCTTGGACCTTGTGATTACAGACACCTTTAAAAAAAATTAGAGACTGTGTGCTACTTAACCCCCTCTGGTGCTAGGGAGTCAGCGATGGGTCTAGCTAAAGGGGACTCCGGCTGGTGTCCACTTAATCTCCTACTTAAAGGGACTCTGCTCTACTTTGCTATTACTACTGCTGCCTATCCAAGTTCTCCAAAAAATAAAAATAACAAAAACAACACCACTAGACTGGTCATTGAAGAAACATGTGACTGAGCCTATGTGCCTGCCTGCGGGGCAAAGCTTTTGGGGAAGACTTGGCTAGACTGGGGCAGTGGCCATTTTTTGTACTGTTGAATTGTTGGTCGAGGGGGTGCTCTGGACACCTTAGCTGCCATTGTGCTACATGCTGGGTGTCCAGTGAGCTCCTGTACCTTTAAGGAGGGGTGGGATCCCTCAGGTTCATCTGCCCTTGGTCTATCCATTAAATACATGTGCCTCTACTATGAGGGCTCTTATAATTGGAGAGTTAGGAACTACAGAATACTGGGGTGCTGTAACGAGGCTCTGTAGCTTACGCATGTGTTTGCAGATGTGTGCTAGCTAAACCCCTGTTTTTAACGCATACTGTTAGACAGGTTAATTTGGTTGTTGGCAAGCTGGCTGGAGAGTTAGAGCTGGGAATTTTTCTTTTGTTGCTTGACATGCGTTGCCCTTCCATGTGCTCCTTGCTGTGAAGGTCAGTAATAGACTGGGGCAGTGGCCATTTTTTGTACTGTTGAATTGTTGGTCGAGGGGGTGCTCTGGAC